AGGTCCGTGCGTGTGTCACTCGCTTAATCGCGAGTGTATCCTACGCAGGCCGGAATATTTCATCGACGTGTGAGGTATTCTCACTAGACCAAAACCCTTATTAAGGTCGGTAAAAAGTAACGATTTCCGATCCTCTAGAATCGGCTTAAATTAGATATTTAGTCTCCTAACTTGATACTCTATAAATAAGAAAAATAGCAGTGCTTACAGAAGGCAATAATGAAACCCCAGAAGGTCCTTCTGGACACCATTTTCCTGTTTTTAGCTGATGAGCTGTGTGGAAGTTTTAAATATTGAGTCAACTTTAAATAATTGGATTGAGTAACATAAAACGATGGATGATGCATTTTTTCCGCCTAGTTAAGTGCCTTGTATGTTAGCGGATCTCATTATAGATCAGAGATGCCGAGGCTGTGTTCCTCACAAAGCAGTTAAAGACGACGAGATGCAGCTATATCAAATTTTCTTTTTTATGGCACTGCTTTGCTTTACTAAGGTTTTTAAGTGAACTTCCCAGTGTTATATTTCACAGCATTTGATAATAAGAACAAGTTATATAACCATAATACCCCGAAATTATCCTTATGCCGTAAAAGAAAAGTTGTAAAGAAATTCTTGTAGAAATGGCTTCTCCCTTACCTTTACAATTACATCATCTCCAACGATGTAATTTCTCCTAAGGTTCGTTTATCCTTCCTTGTATATGTATTTCTGTCTCTGTGTGCGCGCCTGAAAGAACGTGCCGCGGCAAACAATTGACTGAATATAAAAACATGAAAATGCTGTAATTTTTATTATCATTCCAGTTTTTAAAGTGGTGTGGGAAAGAAATCAATACTCACTTTTAAAATTATGGCACTGTAAAGATAAGTGCAGTGGATGTTGGCAGACCTGAGAACGCTGAATTTATTTATCAGCCTTTAAAATGAAGAGTGCATATGTAGTAACTCATATTCGCCTTGAATATTTGAATATCGAGTAGGCACAAGTACCAGTATTTTTTTTAGAATTGAAATATCCGCCCTTCCCTCACTTCATTCACTGACGCTGAATTTTCTTATATCGTATCAAAATTTCAAACATCAAAAAGAAATAAATACCTGAAATGTTTTTTTGCTGCTCCCTCACTTCAATTTACGAATCGAAAGGTCTTTAAATAGCAAACAATTCATATATAGAAAGTTCGCCTGCATACAGCTGTTCCAGATCATCTTAAAATGAATATTCTTATGAACAAGCCTTCCATTCAAGTCAAGTCACTATGTACGACATTCTCAATCATCTGTCCATAAAACGTCAGCAATTATGCCTTCAACCAATTTTGCACTTTAATAAATATCATCGACATGAGTCACCAACACATAACCAGCTTTTCAAATAAAAACCAAAAATG